ATGCCATGGATTTGTTACAAGTTTCTCATAATCGATCCTACTTACCTTTCAACAAAACATGACTTCTAATTATTCCTTCACTCTGTTGCTTCCACCAATTTGGAAATTGAGAAAGAAGATTCGAAGAGCAAAGAGGTAAACCGGCTTCCTCCTGTGAATGCTTTCAAGATTCGACGGAAAAGAATAGGTAAATCCAAAAATTTCCTGTGAACGGAGGATAGTATATAGCTCGTTTGATAATAATAAAATTAATATGTGTGCCCAACCTTTATGTTGCAATTAATTTGGAACGGAGGATAGTATATAGCTCGTTTAATAATAATAAAATTGATCGAATTGACTGATTATGTTGAAATTGATTGAGTTCTGTCTCAATGGGATACATCATTGTTTTATAATTTTAATAGCGAGATAAGTGAAATTTTTTTAAGCTTGATGATTTTTTTTAAAGTAACATTCATATGAGAGTTTTACTTCGGAATTATACCTCCAAAGGGTCTTCAACTTATTGCACTCATCAATATCAAGATCTATGTAAACCAGGCTTGAGGGGATGTTGATAAACATAAGTTTCCTGCACAGTTAAAACAAATGTTATGAATATTTGAAGAGGCATTTAACATGATTTTATCACAAAGAACACACTGTTTAATGGATTTTGAACTTTAAATCTTATTTTTGTTATTATTACTTACCATTAAATTCTTTAACTATAGTAGAGGTAACAACTATGACAAAATGATCCTTCAAAAAAAAACTCTGACAAAATGTTTTTTAGGATCATCGAGTTCACTTCGTTGTTTGGTAAGCTGATCAATGCATTGACCCCATAATCTTATTTTGATCCGGTTTGCCCTGCATGGTAACAAAAGTTAGTACATACATTTAAATAACATTTAATACAACAAAATTGATGTATTTTAAACAATCAAACACATATTATTGCATTCAGATCAGTTTGAAGTTGCATTCAGGTTACTTGAATTTTGTAGGAGAAAAATTTATATAATTCGTAAGTAGATATAAAACATACCATTGGTCTTCTATCTCAATAGATGTAGATCCATTAGGATCATCGTTAACAACCATGCCAACCACATCTGCAAGAATAATATTTAGTAGGATTATTTGATTATGGAGATATAGTATCGATATACGGAGTAATATTTAGTAATAATGTTTTGTCATATCAGTCAAAAGATATTTACTCCCGAGACGATTCTTTAAAAGGTTGAAAGATAAGAAGTCAAATTTATAATTTGGCACTTCAATTGCTTCTCCTTTGACTTCTTTGATGATAGTGTTATGAAAGAATTGTATCATGATTTTATTATCGGCTACAACACGATACTCTTCTTTATTTGGAAGCACTGAGAAGTTTCTTATGATGTGTATCATTCCTTCCTTTATTTTGGGACGTAATGTATGAACATATCCACTTTTTATAGATGCATGAACATAATCACCCTGCAATCATGAAAAATATCATTAGGTTTTTGTGTAAAATAAATATAAATACATTAAAAATTTGAAATTTAACAAAAAAGTATACCTCTTCATCGATCAGAACCATGTCTAGACAAATTAAGCTTCCTTGTCTTTTGTGATTGATGACATCACAGAGGCGTGTAACACGAACTTTGATTGTCCAGTCGGACTTGGATGTATCAAGCTGACGTATTAGAGAATAACTTCTGCATTTTATGGAATATTAATCAATAAGGTATAATGCATAATAATATCATGTATCATAAACATGTGAATGATAAAGTATCATAATACTCTGTATCATAATACTATTTCTTTGTTACCTTCGAATGATGAAAATGCAGCCACACGATTTTATAAATTCAAAATGGAATTTAATTTATATTATGACATGTTCATGTATGAAATCATTGAAAAAGAATACTTTTGATTATATAAATATATATATACTCCGTAGTACGTATGTATTTTCACAAGTAATATGTTTAGCTCAGCCCAAAAAAGTAAACACGTTTATCATAATATTAATCAAGTGTATGGAATATTAATGAATCGGGTATAATGTATAATAATATCATGTATCATAAACATGTAAATGGTAAAATATCATATGTACGTAGTATTCAATAATATATCATTAAAAATGTTGTAGAAACTTACTGTGATGACATTCTTGATATAAGAACACTAAGCAATAGAATTTTTCAAACTAAGGAGAAAGCCAATAGGGAAAATACACTTTTGTTTGCATTCTATATATATAATAGCCTATTTGTGCACTATAGGTAGTTTTTATGTTTCTAATTCTAAATTTAGAAACATAAAATATATTAAAAGTTTACTCCAAAGTTAGGAAACGTAATATATATTCTAAAAGTTTGCTAAAATGAACATAGATAATAAAGTGTGAGTTTCTCACACAATAAAATATAAAGTTACCGAATAAATATACCAAAAAATTTGCTAAAATACGTAATACTAAAATCAATAACATATATTAAAAGTTTACTAAAAGATTTATGGAATAAGATATAGTATAAGTTTACTAAATCAGATTTAGTAACTAATACAAAACGTATATATTAAAAGTTTACTAAAGGATTTACGGAATAAGATATAGTATAAGTTTACTAATTAAATCAGATTTAGTAACTAATACAAAACGTATATAAATAAAAGTAATTAAATAATAGTTATGTATGATGACATGGCAGACTTAGGTGGCACTCCGTATGCTCTTGAAATGTTCCTCTTTTATATATATATTGATATTGATTATGTATCTCAAAACTTTAGGGTATTCGAAGATACATACCAAATTGAACAGATTACGTCTTATCCGTAATATATATGCAAGTATTTAACAACTTATTGTTAAGCCAATCTTATCTAAAATATATTTACCACTTTTTATGACGGGTATTAGGCTAAAGTATCACAATTAGGACATGATGTTTTAAACCTAAAATCATATTAGTTTTTTGGTAATTCCTGAATATCTGGCTAAATGAGCTAATGACGAGTTTGCCCATATCGTTTTGAGTCGATAGGGGAAATACCATGTAGGCTACGTAAAAGTGCTCTTTGACTATTTTGATACGTTTTAAAACTTACTTAGCCTGACGTTTATTTGCAATTCACATATTTCGAAATAATTTCCCCTATTTTATGGCAATAATCTAGATATAAAACTTATCTTCAGGCGCCAGTTTCGAAAAGCATGATTCTCAAGACCATCTTCCCTAATGTCAAAATAAATTCTATGGTAAACTTAGCAACGGTTTCGAGCTCTAAATAGATACCTAGACAAATAGATAAACGTATTTGTTACCCTTAATTACAATATTTGGAGAGTATTATATATTAAGTGATATATAATCTCGAGGGGAAATTATGGAACTCAAATGAGCTCAGTTTGACCGCTCATAATATTATGGCACATAAGATTATGAGGTATTTCGATATAGTTGCCCGGTCACAAAGGATTATGTAATACGTAGTACGTTATAGATCTAAGCTTTCAGTAAGAATATGCCGTTTACATTATTTAAATACCTAATCTCTATGATGTTCGGCACCTATGCATCTGTTATTTAGCTTATGGTATTAAATCGAAAAGGTGTTGCGTCTCCAACAAGTTCTATCTCGATCAATATTGTAAGTGAAGTTGAAACAATAGCTTTAGAACTCAAAACGTTTTCTATATATGTTTATTAGGCATAATCTCAGATGTAAATGACATGTTCTTCAGACAATTTTGAGTTAACCGAAATATCTTTCTCTATGATTGCAAGATAATAATTTCGAAACCGGCGCCTATATGATCAGCATATAGAACCAAGTATGGGTGAATTCTAAAGCAAGATATTACAAGTAATTTTACTAAGAAAGTGATTACGGTAAAAAAACTTGTAGGATTTAATAGTCTTTGTGATATGCGAGATTACAAACGACTATTGCTCCCAATCCTTATAAAATTCACAAGTAATTAGGATATGCTGGTTGGGAAATGAGTGATACGCTAAAAGTGCTCTATTTAGGCTGAAAACGCTAAATCATAGAGATTAGGATAAGTGTTTGTGACACTCATATATTGTTGTGTGTTCTTCCATTCAAATGATAAATCATAGAGATTAGGCTAAGTATTTGTGACACTCATATCTTGCCGTGTGTTCTTCCATTTAAAACGTATTATATTTTTTTGGAAGAGTCCCAAATCACGGTTAAATATGACTAAGTGTGAGTGTCACGATAAGTCGAAATATCGAGAGATGATTGCTATAGAACGGGAAGACGTTTTCTATCTCGTTTGGGTTTATAATAGGCAATCTCCGTGGAGTCGGATTATTGCAAATACAAGCGTGTAGTGAACGTATTATAAACTTTGAATCAGATATTTGGGTTATAATAGACATTCTATAATTTACGCGTTATAATACGTTCATAATCCTCGTAAATTCACTTTTAGAGACGGGTTAAGCGAAGATATAATATTAATCAATTCGACTCCAAATAGTTTTTATAAGCCTATTGTAAGATCTCAACGTTTACTCAAATGCTACCCCTCATAATAGGAAGCTCCATATCTTTATATCCCACATTAATATACACTACAAGAATTCACGGAATTTACTGGCGGAAATTCCGTCACTAAATCCGCCACGAAAAGGTTTACTGACGGATATTTATGGCAGATCGTCTGTCACTAAAACCTGGAAGCTATTGTGTTTAGTGGCAGAATATAATTTCCGTCACAGAATAAAGACGGTATTTAGTGGCGGATTTTTCCGCCACTGTGTATTGTGACGGAATTTCAGTCACTAAATTCTGTCACTAATTCTTTTATATTTACAAAAATGAATTTCACATATATTTATAAATTCTTTTTTTAAATATCATTATTATTTTTAATACTAGATATTGTTTCGTTAAATATGAAGAAATATGTCCAAAATAATCTCAAAATCAGAGCATACATGTTTTAAATTTGAACTTTTAATTTTACAATCAGATATCAGATAATATCATAATAGCAAACAAATAAGAAGTACTACATATATAATAATAACCCACATTAAAATGTAGTGTATCATAAGAATATTCCAAAAAAAATCATACACCACATCAGTATTGTTGAAAATGTGTACAAAATATTTGAAAGCTAAAACTATATGTCTGATGGGATAAGAATTGTTCGTGCAAGTGTAATCTCTTAGTTATCAACGAGGCTTGAATGCAAGTATCGGATTGCAAGAAGAAGCTTGGACATTGCAGCTTTTGTTTTGTTAGATATAACACTTTCAGCTACATAGAAGGCATTGGTTAACTCTTAAAAGCCTCCTGCAAATAAAAAAAAAGTGGTACATGTCATTATACATCTAGAATACTACATTCATAGTCAGGAACATGTGTGTATATAGGAACGCATTGTCTTCCTATATTATAATGTGTGTATACAGAAGGCATAGAAGGCATTGGTTAACCTCTTAATAGCCTTCTGCAAATAAAAAAAATGATACATGTCATTATACATCTAGAGTATTATACTCATAGTCAGGAACATGTGTGTATATAGGAATGCATTGTCTTCCTATATTATAATGTGTGTATACCTAGTATGAAGTAGAAAAAAACAAAGTGAAACAGAGTGTCACAAAATAAAAGAAATGTCATCCAGGAAAATTCACAAACCCATAGTGCAAGAAGTTTTTTATTTTTACCTTAAGAGTCCTTTACAAAACATCCAAGTCCTTTAAGAGTATTATACCTTACACATTCTAATTGTTTCATTTCAAAACTACGTATGAATTTAAAACAACAATAGATTACATACCAGCCAAATTGAATTCATTTCTGGAACACAATAAATCTGTAATGAATTAAAAAATAGGACTCAGGGCATCAAGAATGAAACAAACTATCTCACCACACAAATGTTCTTGAAGTCCAGTTTATATTTTTATTTGTTAAAATATATAAAAAGAGAAAAGAAAACACTTTCACTGCACTTAGAACTACAAACAGATGAAAGAGTTTTTGTAATAGAAAACATACATTCAGCAGTATATTACCTTGAGCTTTGAAGACTTTCAGAAGAGCCATGGCCACTGCTAAGACTTCTTGTGTATGTCACTTCTAAATTTACACTTCATGTTAGAGAGAAAAACAAATTGAAGACAGGGTTAGCAAAGAAATAATTGCAAATAGACAGTTTCAATTTTTCGCAACTGAAAATGAATTAAAGTCAAAATTACCAAAGAAATAATTGCATACCATAACTTCTTTATTGTAAGATGTGTTCTTCCGTATAGCAGCCTGCTACACTACTAAGCAAGTAAGCAGTCCCAAAGAAAATCGACTGATTAGAATTGATTTTTACAGTATTCATGTTAACTGATTAACAAAGCAATACCTTACTATATTAATAATTTAATATAATGACGGAATGATATTGTGAGAAAATAGAAAAAAGGTAAGTAGAAATACCTTAGGCTTTGATGCGATTGAGAAAGACGGTGAAGGATAATTGAGTGATTTGAGGCCGATTGAATGCATTTGGTGGATGATGGACTCCTGCCTGCTACTCGACCGGCGGTGCTGAAATGGTATTGCAACAGAGTACTTGCTAGGGTTAGAGAGGGGGGAGCCGCGGTGCGCATAGTGAAAAGATAGAGTAAGGGTGTAAGGGTACGGTGTTGAGATACAAATCATTCATTGGGTTTTTTAAACCAAAGTGGAGGGAGTTTGAAATTTTGGGAAAAAAGGGAGGGAATCGAAATTTGTTGAAATTTTTTAGGCAGGGGGGACGATTCGAAATTTTTTATGGTGCCAAAATTATTTCAATCATGGTTGTTGTACTCATCACTTTGTACCCACCTTTGTGAAGACTATTTTTTGTATGCGAAACCGGTTCACAGACAAAATATGTCTTTGAATTTCTTCACAGACAAAAAAAAATAACTTCATAAACATGAGTGGGTACAAAAGTGGGTATAAAAGTGGGTACAAACATCATTTTCCAAATTATTTTGATACTGCTTCGTCTTTTATGTATTGCTAGATTGATAGATTCGCTTTTAAAAATATATTTTATTGTTTCTTTTAATCTACATTTGTTAATGTTTAATTTTTCTTGATGATAAAAAAAATGTTTATTTCTGCCAAAAATTGATAACATCCCTATATCCACACATATTATAAAAATAAGAAAAATACTTCTTGTACACGCCGGCTTATACGACAAGTGTGTTTTCTCTGTACACAAAGAAAATAAAGTCACTAAGGGGTAAACTTTACTGTTTTGCACTGTTTCGACACTGTTTGGCACTGTTTCGACACTGTTTGGCACTGTTTCGACACTGTTTGGCACTGTTTAGCACTGTTTTAATGTAGGATAACTTTCCATTTAGGGAAATGGGAAGTTTCTTTTGGGACATCCAAATAAGGAAATTGGGAACTTCTCCCTGGGACGGAGGGAGTACTTCACAAGAAAACCGCCACCGGTACTTATTGGTGTTAAATTCCCATTATTCAGCTTGTTTTTTAAAATTAGTTAACAAGTTGAGATTACTTTTTCCAAACATGGGCGGCAGATTCCGACGACTGACAGTGAACTCCGAAGGGTAGACCTTTGACTTGGAGTTTGATTGAAAGATAGAACTTTGAGTTGGGCAACCTCCCGGAAGCTCTGTACCTCCCGTTGGGTAATGAATTGTACCACTCCTCGGCTGGTCCATCTAGTGTGACGGAAAATCCTCAACATCTGATTACATCTTCATACCCCCATCATAGCATGTAAGCCGTGTACCTGTACATATGGTGTTGGGGATCGGTCTTCCACGATAGACCTCGATGTTGCAAGGCTTATACTCATGCGGCAAAGGGGGTCCATAACTCATCGCACAAATGGTTCTCGAATCCTCACATCATGGGTGGGGTTGGCCACCGTCCACCACTGATCTTATCAGGTCATCATGTCGCCTTTTAGACTCGTCCACACCCCGAGAGTGAGTCGGCGACCAGCTGGGCTGGACCGCTTCATCTAGGAGACATAACTGGTACATTCATGTCTCTCATAACTCCTGTCATTAATGCGCCTTTATGTCCATGTCTCTTCAGTTTAATCCTTGTTGCGGCCAAATAGCCTTGCGTTCGTAATGACTTGCCACATAACACCTAGGGTGAGCCCGACCTCACTGGAATCCTGCCTAGGCTTGAGACCTGCAAAACAAGTCATTTTTGGATGTGTGCATTCCTACGCGGGCAACGGTCCCCCTGTTAAGCCGGATTTATTCATTAATCTCGAGTAATGGACTCTGTTTATTAATCCGACATTGGGTTATGGTTATGGTTATAGTCCATAGTACCATCACATCGTAAACCGAAATGAGAAGTTCTTTCGGGACGAAGGGAATAAATATTATCTTAAGGTTAGACTTTTGTATTACATGAGCATAAATGTGCCATAACATAAAGCTTGTCCGCTATCTAATACGTAGTAGTTGCAAAAGCCGCACATGTTTTTTTTTTACGAATTTCATCTACAATACATATAACTTTAATCATGCTCTTAATTAGATTAATTCTTTTTGTCTTGTTTGGTCTGTCTGAACTGGTTTGGTCTCGTTTGATAGATGTATAACTTATATGTATTTTATATATGTTGAAGTCTAGTCTAATCTATTTAACTTTGTATGATATGTCTGATCTTTTTATGTTTAGAGTAGTCTAATCGAGCCTGAGATTGAAACACATCCCACTAAGACAACAAAACATCCTAGTAAGAAATTTTCTATTTATTTTCTACAAGTTATCCTCATTTAAGTAATACACTTAGCTTACAATTGGATTTTAAAATTGATTCTTGAAGAGATTTTGGAAACCAAACAAATAAAGAGCAAAATATTTTCTATTATCTAAAAATTTATGCACGTATAATAAGTTAATAAAATATATGTAAAAACATTCTTTTACAAATGTCATTTTTAAACTTAAGTCCTTGTTTTAGATCGAGCTATTGAAGTGAATGGATAAAGTGAGATCCGTGGAAGATTGATTTTTTACTCCGTAGTTTAATGACGGATTTTAGTGACAGAATTATTTCCGTCATTATTTGTTGGCGAAGATTACTGGCGGATATATCCGCCACAAAACACCGGCAGATCGTAATCCTCCTTTAATATCCGACACCAAATAGTGGCGGAATGATTTCCGCCACAGAATTCCGCCACTAATTTCCGAAATTCTTGTAGTGATAAAAGACTTAATATTTTGAGTCCACTCATATTTCAACTTATATCGATTCTTCGGATATAGAAGGTTACCTATATGCTTCATTTTTTAATATCCAAATATGATAAATTAGGAAAATATCTTGCTCTCGTTGTACTGTCTAAGAAATATCCATTACCACGTGATACCAAAATAATCCTATCGAAATTCCGTTTATAATCTGAAATATTTGTGATACCTTGATATGACCATTGTGCTTACGTATAAAATCTATACCATCAAGATTTTAAACGTAAGAACACACAGCAAGATATGAGTGTCACAAATACTTAGCCTACTATTTAGAATTTAGGCTGATAAACGAATGAGTGTCACAGATACATGTTATTTTACTAAGTTAAAATAACAAATTATTTTCAACGTATCTAAAGCGTATGATTGTTTAAGCACGTCTGGAACTGCTCATTTCCTGCTCATTTTTAGAAATCCACTATCTGATATGTAATCGCATTGCTCTCATTGTAGACGATAAAAACAGATCCCGTTGATTTAATTACAAAATTACATATCCAATATATAAACTATGTTTTATGATAACCAAATTAAAGCGTTTTCAACATGTATCCCAAGCTAATCATATTGTTTAAACATGATTTGTTATGATAAGTTTGTAGGCCACTATATGTTGTAAACGGAAGAACACACAGTAAGATTTTATGTCTATCCCTTTTCTAAACTTTCTATCTTTTTAAGGGGTATAATTCGGGTTTAAACAATAATTTAAATGTGATCATAAGTTTAAAGAATATACTTAACCAAAATATAATGCAATATACTTATGAACGGATGAGTGCTCACCTTAGTTAAATATCTTATGTGATCTAACCTTATTATACCACTCATATCAAGGCAAATTAAACCATACAGTGTAATATCATTAGGTAATTGTGAAATAGGAGCTGAACATAGTTAAAATCTGATCTAATATAACACATTTGCATCATAAATTTAACCTAGAATGTGTTAAAACTTATTTTTGAATTAGCCTTTGATATTTAAGTAATCTCCTATTTATATCAATCTTTACACTGAATTGACTGATTGTCCGTTTATTGTAATATGATCTTAAGCCTAATTGAGTTATGATATTTCATAACAACTTTACGTTATTTACACCTAACAACTCATAAATTCAAGGTAAAGATCTTGAATTTATCCAAAATTTAGGAACGTATATAACCAGGTTTTAGAGTGCTACTCTTAACAGTCTTGCCCTAAACCCTAAACCCTATTTCGAAACCTGCGGGAATATGTTCAATCACCTATTATGTGATGGGAATAACCCTAATTGCAACAGTATACCTTATGCAAAAAGTTTTAACCACTCACAAATATATACTTATTGACCGTTTAAAAAATAGGCAATTAGGGTTATACAAGAACATTTGAGCTCATATCTCCGTTTAAACTCTATGATTTAGCGTTTTCACAAATATGGTCAAAAATTTGTGAGTCAATTGCTCCACCACCAATGCCCACCGCGTGTGATATGAGTTTAGATGATTTACAAATTGAGGGCTGACCATATTTGTATAAGTGATTATATTGAATAAACCTTAAAATGTGAAATTACGCTATGAAAAACATAATGCTTGGGCACTCCGAGCATGATCCGTACATCCCTTTATAAAATACCCTGCGTAATAGACGTTTTCTAACGGTTAACACTCATACCTAATGAGTTGATTGCTCGAGTTCAGTTAACTTGTCATTTACTAAATATCGAGAAAGGGTAACTCCCGCACAAGATATTTTCCATAGAGAGTTCAAAGATTATGAGTATTTCCCTGTTAATAGGGTTTAGGTATCATATATTATAATTTTCTCTGTACAAAGGTAAAATTTCTTTCAGTAGTTGGTAACAATCTTTTCCATACATTTATGCAGTTCTTTTGTTATCTGAAATATAACAGATTTCAGAAAATTTCGAAAGGCCTTGATACGATCATTGCTTTTGATCAACCACTTGCTTATCATTTAAAAGTGTCCTCATTCCAAATATTTTAATGGTCAACCACTAAAAACAAGATATAAATTTCTAACGTATAAAACCGTTTTCTTGTAAATGGAGTAGAAATAACCGGTGTATTGTGACAGGGTATATATAAGACGAGATACCGTAAGTTTATGCTTAGTGTAAAACGGCATGGGGAGATCAGCAATATTTTGGTCATGAGTTAAAATATATCAATTGTTCATGAAGAATTTAACCATATCTAAAAATACTCCAAGACGTTTTATAAGAGATAGTTCTGTAACAGAGTAGCCTAATTGAATAGCATTGTTTAATTCAACAGGTCCTTTTCCAAATTTGAGCCAAATAGCACATATTGCATGCTTGCAGGGGATCCCAGTTAAGTCCCACTGCCTGCACGTGCATGTTCTCTTTTCCAAATCCACACCATGTTGGTTACCATGCGTTCCCATTATCTCAAAGTCATTG